CTGATATGTGGAATTTCCACTTAGCTACATATATGAAACATTTCTCTTGCCATTTAAAAGAGTAGGATCACTTGGGTTTCAGACCATTTTCAGAATCCACAAGTTACTAGACAGATGATTTTACATGTTTTCAATTAAGTAGGCAGGATACTCAAAGCCTTTTTAGTCCACTCATTAGTCAAGCAGAAGTAGATACAGAGAAGCAATTAATTTTGACAACAAATGCTAAGCTTTTTATCTCTATATTCTATAATCTGTTCCAAGTACTAAACAGCTCAAATGCAAAAATGTCAAGTAGTGAATCTAGTTTGAAATACTGACTTGCCTTAAGCGGTTTGGCTTTGGATAGCATGATATGCAAACAGTTTCCCATTAGGAAATGAGTTGAAATGTATTTTTTTCATTAACTGTGTGTTATTACTGTTGCAGTAAGTTTTGAAGTTACATCCCAATTGTGGATCCCAGATGACTGACACATGAACACATTTTTTCCTACTCTTTGAACACGTACTTGCTTCAAACTCTTATTTCCATGGTATCAGATGTCTTTGCAGGTGTTCTTGAAGAAAAATTCCTTCAGATTTGTGGTTGAAATGGATACTGATTTTTTTATGTGTCCCCTCTACCCCATTGACTTTTAAACCAGGAAAGCATTAGCTCTGAATTACTCTTTGCTATTCTCTAGTTTCAGTTCCAAGAGAAGTAGTTCCCAAAGCGTTTCCAAGTGGTTGAGGTTTTTTGGTTGGTTTGGTTGTTGGTTTGCTTTTCGTTCCTCTTCCTTACCTGACATCTCCCCCTAAGTTCTTATCCACTTAGCATTTTCCCTTTGGAGAGAGTCACAGATTTATTTATTTAACTTTCCAAGGTATTGAATTAGCAATATTTTGCCAATTATAAAGTTTATATGCCTCCTTAGTACCTACTTTTTCTGAACTCAGTGCAGTTATTAAAGCATAACTATAAATCATGATGCTTAACGATGAATCCAGAATATACCATGCTGTAAATTGAGACTTGAAAAGAGAAAATGTTTATCTGCAGCAAACTAGTTCTTTACTATACAGGTTCTTAACACATAGCAAGCTTCTTTCTTATGTGGAACATAGCACTGTCTCCTCAAAATAACTTGTTAAAACAGCAGAGATCCATAAGAAACGTTAATTAGATGCAGTCACTCTGCCCACTTGAAAATGTCTTTCTCTGTGTGTGTTGTGTTTGTTTGTTTGTTTGTTTTCCTGTAATTGATAAAAGAATCACATAACATCATTATTAATAGTGTTGTGTTACTGTTGGTCTTAAACATCTTTCCACTGAATGAGGGTCCTTCACTGAGGGTTTTTTTTTGGATAGTCATTTACCTTGACACTGGTGCATATTTTATTCTTAACTCATAAATTAACCTCTTGTGAGAGAGGAAATGAGTTTTCACAGAACATGTTTCTGATATGGACTAAAAGAGTGTTTTTCTAAAGCACTCTAAAGTTTTTCTTTTTTTTAAAGAAAAGCATATTCAACCTTGTAATATCAACATCTGTTGTGCAGGGATTTTATTGGTCTTTACTTTTCTTTCATCCTCCTACAGAGAATTTCTAAAATGTCTAAAATAGGAGCATTTTCTTTGTAAACCTTGATATTGCTGAAAAATTCCCAGCCGCCACTGTCTGCAGAGATCTGGAGTTGTCTGGATTTTTCGTGTTCATGGATAGAAAACCTTGCTGATGCTTCACATTTAGGAAAATGCACGAGTAGTATTTCAGTCTCCAGCAGAAAGTACTAATTGATAAGAAAGCATCTTTCAGCATAAAGAGCACAGTAGGTGTCTCTAGAAATAATTCAACTGTGAAGACACTGAATTCTATGTGTATATTCAACAAGCAATCAAGTTTGTCTTTATACAGGCTGTTTGCTTTCTTCATTGGCCAGTAGTTTGCTTCACATTAAAAATGAGTCATGACCTTGCTAGTCATTTATGTCTCTGATATTTTCTCATGATTTACTGACTTCAAATTAGAACTGAAGGCTTTCAATGTACATGACAAAACTGAAGCCTTCAGCAAAAAGTTTCAACTTTGAATTTGTCAAGTAAGAAAAAGCAATTTTGACACGTTTGGACCTCCTGACCTTTTATGGATGAAAATGAGCAAACACTCAGCAGTCTGGTGGAAAAGACAGCAGAGAGGATCACTCAATAGCTCTCCATTGGCAGTTTAGACACTGCAGCTCTAAAAAAAGGGAAGAGGGATGACAGAGCCATGGTCAGAAATCTGCAGTTCCAGTTTCCAATTTAAAGAAACAGTGTATTTCAACACATTATGTTGCAATTGTGGAAGGAAACTGGAATTCATGCAGGAACCTAGTACAAAAAGAGCGAGCAGTCTGGCTTGGCAGATAAGGCTGTAACAGTCAATCCAGGAAAGTTTTATTAGGAAAATGAAAGTGAATTACTGCGCAAATGTAATAAAGATGATCTAATACTCACCCTTCACAAGCCTTTATCTACTTGATACTAAAAATTAGTTTTCATTGCTTCATTAGAACTAGAGTATAAAAATGGTAGGTGAAAACAATTTCAATTGTATGCCCCAACCCCCCTCGCAAAAAAAAAATCAAACTGGTATTCACGATTAGAGGTCAAAATTTACTATGTGATAATCTAAATACGAAATTTATGACAGAAATTGCATCTGAATATTGAGGGCACAGCAGCTCAAAAAGCATCTAGTCCTGTAAATGGAGATAACCGGGACAGTTTACCCTCCAGCCCCAAGTCTGGGAACTAGGAACCTGGGATATGCTCTGACGTATCTGGCCCAGTTGAGGCAAATCTTAACAGTACCATGTTAATGTGTGATAACAACTAACTGTGCTAGGTGGACCTTGTATAAAAATAGCTTAAATCATAGTCCTGGAGAAAATATTTACTGTGGTTAGAAATATCAAATAGGAAACAGTATGTAAAATGGTCTCTGACGTTGTTCATTGTTTTGTAGCTGAGAAAAACAGTGTTTAAACGAAGTTGCCTCACAGACAAAGTGGTGTGATGATTCAGTGGAAGAGCAAAAGAAAGGAGCAGCTGATCGATTTAGGGAGAAAGTAAGGAGTTGAGATGGACATAGGCCAAAAACGAAGAGTGATAAAAGGGTGTGATATATTGAAAATCAGACAGTAATGCCAGATTTATTGTACATCTGCAGCTCTTTGGAAAATGTCATATGTTCCCTTTGTTGCTATTGAATACAGTGTCACTATGAGGAGGAAGCTTAAGCAAATGTGCAAGAAGGGCATCTGTTCAGAATTTTAGCTTCTCAAATGGGAGTTTCAGAAAGAGTCTCAGAGACCTCCCTGGAGCATTTGGGCCACACAGAGCTGATGTTTAGTATTTACATCACAGCCTGTTTTGCCCTGAGATTTTTTTTATGTGTTGTTTTAACGAACGGCGCGGACAAAAGCGGCACTGTAAGTCAAATTCCCCTGAAGACAATGTGATTAGGCCAGCTGAACCACTGAAGCCTTGCTGAATAGAGGCGAGTACTGCTCATTCCCCCGGCTGCTCTAAAAGCTGAGTCAAAATCTTAAAAGTTTTATAATACACGTGAGGTCTCAGTTCAGCTGACTTCTATGCATGCACTGATTGTGTTTACTTGTGTATGATAGGACAGAATCTTTGTGTACTCTTGCTGTTGAACGAAAGCATCTACTTTACCTGCAAGCTGTGGTTAGTTTTCCACAAAAGCTCACATCATGACATTTGGTCTTATTTCAGATGCTGGGACTGCTTCCCTGACACAAGCTTTTCCTCCTGATCACACGTGTAAAATTTCTTGTTCCTGGTTCTATCCTTGAAGATGCCAGATCGCTTTGAAGGAAAGCATGAGCAAATGGGGAAGAGTACTTGAGACTCGGAACACCAAACAGGCTGCTAAGCCTCTCCTTGGAGTACGTGAGTCTGAGTGTGTGCATATGTGCATTTCTATTTCAGTTGGTTGGAATGGCTTTTGCAAGCTGCCAGAGAGAATTATTATTCCAGGACTGAAGTTGCTCATTCAATTCTCTGGGGAACACGGAGTGTTGCTGAGACTTACCAGAGTGAATACAGCACAATACAGCAAGGCATGCACCCTGCTGAGCTCACTCCAAGCATTTGCTAAAAAGCATGTATCGTAGGAACAGAAATGTGCTTTCAGGTCTCCCAGGGTCTGATTAAATTCAAAAATGAGAGAGTTTCCCATTGTGTTTTCCATCAGCCCATTTCAAGTATGGGAGAACAGGGATGCTGAAGCTTCAAAATGTGTAATTCTTAGAGGGCTCACAGCAACACCTTTCATATCCTAAATTGTACAGCATATATGAGTGTGAGCTAGATGTTGATTTACAATAGCATTTTGTTCTGTGTGTGCTGTAATTCTGAGTGCTGAACTCAAGTTTTCTTAGTTAGGTTTGTGTCAACCCGTGTGATCAGGAGGTTCACATTTGACCCTAGTTCTACAGGTAGAAATCTTGCTAGCAATTGAACAATCTGGTATAAATGCCTTGATTGTAAGGTAAGCCATGAAAGACAGTGAGTGCAACCGATGGAACTGGGAAAAAAAGTGATCCTGTTCTGTCAGTAAAACAAAGGTATGGTACAGAAACGAATGAATACTAAAATTCTGTATTTACATAAATAGTGCTGCATAAGAGGCACACTTTATTTATACTGGCAGCAATAAGCAAGAGATTTACACTGATAAAAGAAACTGTATATTAGAATATGCATAAAAAGTACTGGAAAATTTCTCCTAAAGGTCTTTTGACAGAGGAATAAAAAGCAAGAAGCAGAAGCAGGTTAGATGCATTTTAGAGTCTAGTTTTACAGCTTTTTTACCAAGTAACCTTAAATTTTGCTTTTTTTTTTTCTTCCCATACACCATCTGGTGTCACTACCATTGAAGAACTGAATTTTTAGATGAAGTAGTATCTTTTTTTTCAAGGTTTAATTTTTTTTTCCCTTGCTCATAAGTGCTCTACCATGTTTACTGGATTTCAGGTTTCAGAAAAAAGAGGAGTGTTAAGGTAAGTTACTACCTACTTCCCTTTTCATCAAGTTCTGTTTTAAGATCTCAGCTTACAGTCTTACAATTTTTCTTCATTACCGGACTATCTGATATCAAAGGACATGTTCCAGAAAAGCAATTTAGCAGAGAAAAACAGATTAATTAACCTCTGATCATTGTGTAACACTGGAATAATTAATATATTTGTAGTTGCACAAGCCTAATTTATCTTTTCTCTGACAGAGGATAAAGACTTGTGTCAGTGTTCAATCTGAGATATTAAAAAAATCATGCATAAGCATAGACTCATAAGTGTCTCAGGATACTCTAATTTATACTCAGTATTCCTAGCATGGAAATACATATCTCCAGTATTATAGGAGGAGCTTCACAACACTCCTCCTATCATAGGAGGATTAGTTAGGGTTGTGTTAGTTGCATGGCCTTGGACAAGGTGACTGTTCATCAGCTCTGTGCTTATTGACTCCTTCCAATAAAACAGCAAATTTCAGTAGGTAAGGGTACACCACTGGTACGTGGAAAGAAAAATACAAGCACTGCATAAAGGGCTTTCTGAGATTGGCACTGATTTTATTTTGGATTATTTTTAAAAAGAGATGTTGTTGGAAATGATTCTTACCAAAACAGCTCAGAGTAGAGAAAGAATAACAAAGGATAATAATTTGACCATACCAAGAAACTGAAAAAACTATTTTTCCATTGACAGAATAATCAGCGGAGAGTGCAGGGATTAGAATACAGAGACAGAACAGTGTGGATTACCCTGATTTCCCCCAGGATTGTAATAATTTCTGCCACGACAGTAGAAAACCACGTTCACAAAATCATTAGACTCTTGAACCAAACAGAGAGTTGAGATATCAGTACTACCCCAACCAAGCAGAATAATATCTCAAGGAGGTCCCCCATGTGTACTCAGAATAACAACAAACAACTCTACTTATAGTGTATGCTAATTTAAGCAAATAGGAAAATTGATATGAAAATCCTGAGCAGTAGAACAAGATAAAATTAATGAAGACTTGTTAAATGAAATGCTCAGATAACTCAAACTCAGTATTTTCAGAGACGGTCTAGTGAGGCAGTAATACCACAAGACCAAACTATCATGATATGTGTAGGTAAAATGGCATCCTCCAGCAACGTATGATATATGCTACTCTGAAAGCAGTGTCTCCCATTTTATTGTGCTGACTCACAATGTTCAAGGTGAATGTTGGTGGTAAGGCAGTTGAAGTTGAACCTTCCTGCCAATATTCCATCATGTGTTGTTGCTGTGCAGTGGATGGCAGCAGAGGGGCAGTCTGGTAAAATGACATCTGACATAGAAGAGCATATGAAGCAAACTTGTGAAAATTAATTCCTCTGTGCAGAAAAAAATGGCTCCCATTGATGTTCATCAATAGTTGACGAACATTTATGGAAACCAAACAGTGGATGTGAGCTCAGTAAGGCAGTGGGTGATGTGTTTCAGCAGTGGCAACAGCAACTTGAAAGAAAAGTCATGTTTCAGGTGGCCATACAGTTTTTTCACTAGCACAGCATGCAGGCTCTTGTTCAACACTGGGGAAAATGCATAGCTAATAATGGTGACTACCTTGAAAAACAGTGTTTTGTAGCTGAGAATTTGCTTTATGAATTGGAATTATTGTGCTCATTGTATCTGTTGTAATTTCCAAGGAAATAAATAGGAGGTATTATTTTCAGAGTGAATTATATAATGCTATTGCACAGAAAGCATCTTTCATTCTAAGATGCAGTGTTTGAGCTAACATATGGAGGACATCTCTGGTTGTCGAAGTAAGGAAATTTTCACCTGTTTCTAACCATTCTGGCTTTTTGCCCTCAGAGAAGGGAGACTTCTGCCAAACCAGTGTTTTTCCTGTTTTGAAAGGACAACACAATATTACCGAAAGCTTATGGGAAGATACATGTTCTAAATCATCTGAAGTTTTCCTAAGGGGTAAGTACCTTATTCAGTAGGATGCATTCACAGAAGATTCATCATATTTGGAAGAGCTGGATGACATTTGTTATTCAAGCAACAGCGTTATTTTCACGAGAGAAACCGCTCTGTGGAACAAGGACTCTAGTGTAATTCACAACAGTCGCTTTCCCAGAGGGATGCACAGCAGTGGTGCTCTTAATACCATATAGATGATCATCATAATGCATTAAATAGCTAGTGACAGACTGTATTGTCAATAGAGAGATTGTTTATAAATGGGACAGCTGGAAGCTGACTGCTAATGAGTCAGAAGTCACAGAAAAAATTAATATCAAGAAGAAGAATTTGAGTCTTTGACACTTACTTTTCTCTTTATCCATGAATTTCATCTCAAGTTGCCTTAAAAATTGAATTTAAAACTCAAACGTAGTAGTTAATACATATTTCACTTCAAGCAGGAAACAACCTAATTAGAGTAAAACAAAAAGGTTGTACTTACAGTGCAGTGTGAAAAATAGGCCACGGCACATAAAGCCTAAAGTTAGCTTTAAATACTTTTTGATGGCACAGAATGTTAATTGAATGAGTGTTTTGCATAATGAACAGGGCTCTTTCAGCATAATAGAAAGAAAAACATTAGAGAGCACAGTGGAATGACCCCCTCTGGAGAACTGACCCAGCTTTTAGCAAATCTCTCTGGGGATTCTTGATCATCAGTAAGAAGGGCCTTTAGGGAATCATTTCTCTCCTTTTAGCCACTGACACTGAAATTGTCATACATGCTTCAACAAACTGTCCAGAGAATTGTGATAGTATACCACCTACCAGGATTTCCAAGTGAAGCTGAGCACCTGGATGAGAATTGTTTCTCAGTCCTAGAGAGAAATCTTACCTGCTGGTCAGAACACAATCTTAAAGCTTTTCTCTCACAAGTAACAACGATGTAATATTTTTAAAACTACTTTTTGCATCAGCACAGTTGTCTGTCAGTAGACAGTCCAGCATTCATGGCACAGATGATATGCTACCATACAAACAAATGTGTCTGAGTATTTTACTGGAAGACTGAAAATACTGCTTAAATAAATGGCAGGGGCAGACTGAGCCTGAAACTGGCTACCATCACCAGCTGAACAGCAAGCGGTGAAATAAAATATATATATTCTCTAGATCTTCATCAGGAATACTGGACAAAGGTCTCATTAATTTGATCATTTTGTGTTCTGTTGGAAAGAAGGTGACATCCTCAGCAAGAGGTTGGATGGAAACCAAGGTTCTGAAATGCTGTGTGTTTTTCTAGGTGAATTATTAGGAGTCCCAGGATACCAACAGACCTCCTCCATTTTGTGTGCGATTGTAGTAAACGGTAACTGGAGAAAAGGGTCAGGAATGCTTGTTCTTCTTCAGGTATGTGTCAAAAGAACAGGTAAGGATTCCAGCCTGATAACCTTTTAGCTGTGTCCACAAAATGACCGTTACCATTTTAGAATCTATGCGACTTCCTACATACAGAAACAGTTCTGCTTTTCTTCTGGTGTGGCTATTTCGGTTCATTTGAAATTAACTTTAAGAGTGGTTAGCACCTTAGAAGTATTACCATCATGATTTCTACAGAGATTGTGCCTGGGTTCTTATTACTCTTAATACCACAATTTCTTTGGAGGGAGCTACATACTTAATTGAAGCTAAACATGTAATTGAAAACACATTTCCTCATTACAGGTGCCCATCAGTACATAGCAATCTTAAGTATGCTGAGTCCAGGACAGAAATTTTATTTTTTACTAATATTTAAGTACCTTGGCTGTCATAGGATGTAATTTCTCTAAGGATTATGAACTACATTCCCACAGCTCATTTTTCACAACATTGCCCATGCTAATGCCAAACAGATCCACAAGTCACGTATATATAACAGACTGTGCAGCTGAAGATATTTCCACAGCAGTAGCCTGTCATTCAGGTATCAAATTGTTGTGCAGTTCCTTTCCAGTGTTCTGTCAAAGCAGTCGTGGCACTGGATATTCTTTTCAAAGCTTCACATCATCAGGTGATTAGCAATCTTGCAGAAATAAACCTGATGCCTTCACAGTTGTAAAGACTACATAAAACATTCCATTCAGGAACAGCAAGAACTAGAAGATAGAATACAAAAATTTATGTATTTATTATTCAATTTAAACAAATCTGGTTGGATGTGTGCTGTGTAACTTTGAATGAAACATCCACCATCTCTAAAACCAAGTCCACCCATTTGCACGTATTTCTCATTCCAAATAGATGTCTGTAAGTTTGATGGAATGAAAGAATCAAAAGTAAATCTAGTTTGGAGTAAGTGTAAAATGCTCGTTCATTCATTTGTACCTCAAAGAGAAAATTAAGACTATTTAAAAACAAACAGTTGTTGGTAGGAGTAAGTTTTCCAGCGTTGTTCTGATGCCTTTTGAAAGAGACCATGTGCTTTAATAAATCATGTTTAGCTGCTTGCCCACGTACATGAAATGCAGATTGAAAGAGGAAAGGAGAAAAACTCTCTCTCCATCTGCTTCCTCCTTTCCTCCTTCTCTTTCCCTCCCTCTCTTTTTTGTACTGCTTCCCTCTATACCAGGATTAGACGTGATGTGATGACAGTGAATACTTGGTTACCAAAGGGAGATTAATTGAAAGATCAGGTCAGCACAGGAGTACAGCAATATAGAACTTACTCTGTTTACAATACACTGAATATTTCAAGGAAGCTAGAGAAGGAAACAGTACTAAATGTGATAACTTGTCAAAAACCTACCTATGGACTACCGGTTCATCTGTGCTATCTAATACATTACGTTTCGTGTTTTCCTCACACAGTTATATTAACAGTTAGATAATTTTTAATTTTACACTTTGAACCTACTAAAAAATACCGTATGTCTGTGCTGATCAAAAAAAAAAAGGGGGGGAGGGAGGGCCGGGGAAACTTCCTTGTGTCTTGTGCATTTTCACTGATGCAATCGTGAGTAATGTGACACAGGAAAAGGGAGGCTGGGGTCTCTCCATCAGCTGTGCCTGTAATAGTGGACATTCCTGTCAGATTCCTGTGCATCTTTTTCCCAGGCCATACTAAGCTCTGTTCTGCATTGCCCAAAGGAATGTGCATCAAGCCCATGGCATCAGCATGAAGGATGTAAGTAAGTATGTCTCCCAGAGTGAGAGGTGCTTTAACATCTGTGATATATACTCTATTGTGTGTGTTGTTCCATTGATCATTTGCCTTTGTTGCTGCCTAACTACTTATGCTCTATTTCTAGCCTCTATTTGCCAGTTTCAGCTTCCTTCTATTCAATCACTTCATACCTTTATTTCTATAATGTTTTTATTTGAGTGCACAGAACTTTTACCAGCTGTCTTCCCCGTTTGCACTGGTTCCCTATGACCAAGTTGTCACCTAGTCGTCTTCTTGTAAACGAAATAAATGAAGCTTGATTAGCATCTATCGGACATAATACTGGGCATTTATCAGTTTACTCTTGTGAATATGTTGTAAGTTTACCAAATTCTTTTTGAAATGGGAATCCTCGGAACTGAGCACACCAATTTCACCAACACCTCCTCAAACTTTTCAAAAGTGTAGTATCTTATCTCTTGTAACCTTATGGTACATAGTATCCTAAATTATAGTCTGTCACGTTGGTTTAGATAAGCATCTATACTTTATTGTGAAGATATGCACACAGTTCAAGTAGGGGTACCCAGTCTGGTCTTAGTCTGTGCTGGATACTGGAATGCAACTGTAAGAAGAATTGCTTCGACTCAACCTTATTTATTTATTTACATCTAAAACCCTGAAACTGCAGTTTCATGGCTTATTCTATTGGAGCTGGGTAGCTTGTATTTGGCACTTGCAATCTTGCTGTCCTTCGTATTTTACACTGAGAGAGCTGCATCAAGTGCTAGAAATGACATTCCCATCACCTGGTCTTAATGCACAGCCTGTGCAGTAATACAGTGTCTCTAATCACTGCGGATCTGTAATTCAAGGCCAATCAGATGAAGTATTGCAGTATTTTTTTACTTATATCTTAAAATGAGATGAAAGTGGCCTTGAAAACTAACAGTAGCTTTAAGAAGTCTCATATCAACCACAAACAAAGGAGCTCTCTAGAAAGAGCTGAATTTTTCACGCAGGTTTTAACAACATTAGTCACTGAGATTAATGTAATAATAATTTAATCACTATATGCATTTTGTGATTACAATAAAAGAACGTCCCAGGAATTCGTAGCAATAACTTGTAGTACTACAACTAAACAATTTTTCCTCTTGTTTTATTTTCTATTTAAGTTGAGCCTTTCAGCTTGTCTCCATTACATTCCTTATTTTAGTATCCCTTTGCAATATACCAATTTGTTGGGTGTATCCAAATGGGAAATTTAAGAGCAGCTAGAAACAAAAAAAAGTAAAAGCTGCACAATAGAAGATGTCATTAGAAGAAATAGATATTTAGATTTCAAAACCAAATTACGAGTGCAGTGACAGCCATTAAGACTAGTTATCTGTGGGGAGTATTTTTCATGTGTAATACACTGTATTCAGTTCTGATACAAAATGAAATTAAAATATTTTGTTTTGAGAAAGGTAAATGTGTAAATTCTACTTTACAATTCTTTAATTGTAATAAATACACAGTATTAAAAAAAAATTTAAAAAAGGAATGCAAGTTAACACTGACAGTAAGTCTCCACAGTTTTATAATCTTTCTCTCTCCTTTCCATATTTCTACAAAGAAGTTGGAATTCTGAATTCAACAAAAAGAGAAAATGGGTGTTTTTAAAATATTCTCCTTTTTAGCAAATGGTCAATCTTGGTGACTACAACTTCATAATATTGCTAAGTATGCTTTAATCGTAGAATCATACGGTCATAGAATCACTCAGGTTGGAACAGACCTTAAAGATCATCAATTCTAACCATAACCCTAATAACCCATCCTACCCTAACTCTAACAGCCCTCCCTGAGCACCACATCCGAACGGTTCTTAAACACATCCAGGGATGGGGACTCAACCACCTCCCTGGGGAGCCCATTCCAGTGAGTCTGATGTTATGCCTTTGAAAATGGAAATACAGAAAATGGTATTAATGCCACATACTTCAAATGAAATTACTTCAAATTATACTGACATTTAATTAATTAAAAGTTATTCTTAGAATATGAAATAATTATGTAGTTCAAATACACTTAATTTATATGGTACTTGAAATAAAATCCACTTTCCCCATCCTTTTGAAATTAAGAAGGTTGAAAGCAGCTAGCATCTCAAAGAAGGATTTGGATACTGATAAATGCTGTATTTTGAGACCAAAAGGTGTGGTTTTTGTTTTTTGTTTTTTGTTTTTTTTTTTAAGTAAAAAACTCAAATGGATTTATTTATGTTATTAGTGAACAGTAGAGTATTTCATACACTTTCCTTATTGCTCATACCAATTGGAATGAGTCAAAATTGAACTGTCATCACGAAATATTAGGGTGTTAACTCTTAGCTGTGAAACAATCCTCATTTGATTGCATAAACTCTTGGCAATTAAATGATAAAAAAAAATTTATACAGGAAGATCTTCAAACTTTGTGCTTAATCCTTGGCAAATATTTGTTGATCATTTCAGATTTTCTTCCCTTTTATTGTGTATGGCATAGTCAAGATGAAAAGCACTCGGTAAGGGAGTCAATTTTCTTTAAAATGCAAAGTATACAGGTAAGATCCTTGTTGAAAAGATTTCTCCTGTGCCACCGTCTGTAGCCTGCCAGCTTACCAAGGAGAGTCACAACTGTTTATTTTCTTATGTTTTTAGAAAGGAGATCAAGCACTAGTGATTTTTAGAAATGGCATAGAGCTAAAGGGCTACTGTTTATCCACTGTTGCTGTATCATCTTTGCTTTCCAATTTCTCTAGGTAATGCCTGACAATCTGGAAATAAAGAAACAAATCTTCTCATCGCGCTCACCATGTGGTACTGGAATAGTAGCTTCTTTCTCAAAAAAGGACAGATGTATTGGCCCTCACCTCATTCATCTCTCTCACTATTTTATCTGAGGTTGTTCACAATTGACAACTAGCTACTTGTAATGCAGATTATGCAGGCTATGCAGCGTCTGAGGAGGATAACAGAAGTAAAAAATAAAGGTGGAAAAGCCCTCACTTTGGTTCAAATGAAAACTAGACTTAATGTGTTCACTTTAAATGTCTTTCAGTAATATTCTCATCCCTGAATAAAGATAATTTCAACTAGTAGCCAAACGTAGAGGCTGTATAGAACTACTGAGTCACGATCACCTGAAGCAAGCACTGAGACAGCCCTGGGAGCACGGGTGAAGGCGATCCAGCTGTGTGACCAGAAAGGATGGAGCCTGGCTGCACCTCTCTTAGACCCCCCATTTAAGGACTGACTGCCACAGGGGAAGGGTCTCTCTCTGGAGGTCCCTCCTCTTGGAGTTTTTCTTGCAAGCCCACAACACAGGTAAGCTTTTCCATTCATTTCCAATTATCCCTTTCCAATGTGATAATTTTTTCAGCCATACGTTCTCTACAGACCACCCTAACTTATCCGTATACTTGTTGATTATGCAGAGGCCATGTTTTTAATGATGGGTTTATTTGGTTTTTTTTCCTGATTGTTTCACGAGAGTTTGCACATGGAAGCGTGACTGTGCTTGCAGTTCTGCAGTACAAAAGGCAACCAGGGGATAATCAAGGAAAGAACTGCCTAGGATGTCAGGGCTGGCCACTGATGGGGAAAAAAAATGAATCGGATGAGAACTGAGAGAAGTATAAGAAACCAAGCACAGGTAAGAATGTATGCATATCCATATCTGTTCCTTTAAGTCAATTTATCAGAGAACTAAGCATGCTTTGGCCAAATAAACCTGACTTAAATTTTGTGTTTTTGCTGACTGACTTTGCTAGCTGATTACTAGAATGAAATACAGTTGGCAGACCCAGAGGTTTGTTGAATTTCATGTCTGTTACTCGGGGGGGACCAACTGAAGGCACAACCAGGGATCAGTCTGATCCAACCGTATCTCCAAAGGAAGTAGATTTTCAGTACGCACGCTCCTCCTAACAAAGCTTGAAAAGCTCATCACACAACCTGTGGGCTGCACGAGCAGCGTGTCATGGTAAATATTATGAAGCTGCTGTGCACATAATGCTAGCTGTCACCACCTCTTGATGTGCTGTATGGGGGTTGTACTTAGGCACACTTTTCTACCTGCAGCTCGCATGCAGTTTCATTGCATCATCTGTTGGCATTGAGAACATTTGGGAAGAGTGGAGTCTGCAGCTCCCAAAACAGTCTTGAAAGCAGTTAAAAATAACTGTGAATATGTCACATAAAAGCACTCTGAAGAGTCTGATATTTTTATGAACCTCAGTGCATGTTATGTATTAAAAATAGTCTTGAGAGAAATGACAGCACAAAGTTAAGGGAATATAGATAGCCCGTGCAAGCATATAATTTCAAGATAAAGTTACCTTCAGAGTTGTTGTAAATCGTGTTAATTAGTTAAATAATTCATTAGGTCCAAACATTAAAAAAACACTTGGAAAATTATTGGTTTAGGTTTGAGGATAAGAGATACATAGGAGACTCTTTCCCCTTTCCCTTCTCCTTGAACTCTTTCTGGAATGCCTCTGTTTCTACATAAAAAGTGAAGTTTAAGTTTTCAAAATTATGTTGAGATGTTACAAAAGTGTAATATAAGAAAGAGCAATATAAGAGCGACAAATAATTCAAGTAACTTTATATGCCACTTCTCATTTTCTTCCATGAAAGCTTAATTAAATTAGTACATACTTGTTTTATATTTTAACAGCATGTAAAATAAAACAAAATAAAAAAGAAAATTTATTATTTTGAAGTTGGGTTGAATATGAAATTTTCCTCTACTTAAAATAATTCCATGTTTTATGGTTTAATTTTTGCCTGATAATAAAAATAAAACACATTAAATTTTAATAAAGTAACTTTCAATTTATTAACAAAATTTCTGCATGCTATTAGTGTGGCTGCAAGTTGATCATGCTAATATAAAGGGATTAAATTATATTCTGTTATATCCAAATTGTTTTTTCTCCTCCAAAAGATGTAATGTGCAGTCAGGTCAATTCTCTGTCTCAGTTTCGTTTATGTCAGTTGGTATTAGACGCTTTTCTACCCTCTTATTTTAGAAAGGTTAAATTTCCTTAGCAGAATGTTCTATGGATACTTCAAATTGCAGAATTCAGACTCATTTCACTGAAATTAAAATAGCTCATAGACCCACATAAAGTCAACAAAGGTAATAGAAACCCCACGGCAACAATTCCTTCAGAAAACCTGTACTTTACAAACAAAAAAAGCCCTACCTCTCCACATCTTTTGGCTTGCTTGTATCATTTGGAGCAGCTTACAACTTCTCTCTTAGAGAATTCCGATTTGTCTTGTTTTAGATGTACGTTAAGATCTCAGCGTCTCGCAACCATATAATGGAAACCTTACTAATTATAATAATCATAGGAAATGAAATAATTTCTCTCTCTTTTTAATTTTTTAGAGCTCCATGGCCTTGAAGTCTGAAAATGAAACACTGAAAACAGCAAGCGCGAAACAACTACAAAAACTGTGTTGTTCTTACTGCACAGATTTCCCAGGAAAAATCTGTAGTAGTCTTAATGAAATAATTTAGCTTGCCTTTTTGCCTAAAGGAACAATGCAGCATTATTATTTTCATACTAAGGGTTCTTGTCTGATTTCACTTGTGTTTGAACATGCCTCTGGGGCTTCTGAGAATGGCCAGTACCCTATTTGATGAAGTAACTGGCGTCTGCACCCAAGATGAAACTTACCTCTAAGCAGAGTCAGCCAAAGGTCTCTCTACTGTTTAAATGAAATTAAGAGTTTATTCTGATCCTCTGCAGTCTATTAATCTTTCCTTGGGAAAGAAAAAAAAAAATCTACGCTGCACATTTCAGACTATGTATGTTTCACTTAAAAGGAGAAAAAAGCCTCAGGTGGACACTTTCAAGATTACATTTCAGGATTTTGATTTCCTTTTTCTGATTAAAAAAATCAATCACATTAAATGAAATCAAAACAGTCAGAATACTCCCCTGTCTTGTAAAAATCCTATACATCCAGTTCTTGAGCTTGTACGTGCATTTTTGTTACGCTGTGGACTGATAATTCTGCAAAATATTACAGTATTGCATAATAAATGCTATGCTTTACCTGCCACACCATTTTCGAAATGATTTCATTTTCTTAATCAGGAAAACAGTTCTTTTAGTTGGACCAAGGTCAGTTCATACTGCAGTAGTTTTCATGACTGGTCCATCCATTTTGTATCTCAGAAGATGGGCGTCCTTGAGAATCACGTGGTTTGATTTTTTTTTCTTTGTTAGTTTGTTTGCTGGATATTTCCTGGATATTTTTCTGCCTAAAGTTGTTCCTTGCCACCTGTTACCTGATTCTTCAATTGCATCAACTTTCTCTTCCGTGACAGTTGTTGGCATCCTGCTAAGGACGAGTAAGCACTCTTGGTTCTCAAAATGGTATAGGTTTTCACTTGGTTCAGTCCCTAGAAAGGTAGGGCAAAAATATTTTTGCATCCCATTCTTTCTTCGTTCCAGAACCAGCAATTATTGAACCACTGTTTTTAATGTTGTTCAGTCAATAGACTGTGTGTTTTCCTCTTGTATACCTCAAAATTAAAATAAATATGTAACAGATGTCAATCTATCTATACATGTAAATGCATGTTTTGGATGTAGTTTTCTTGGGTTTGGAATAACCTTATTTCCTCTTAATTTGTATTTTAATACAAATAAATAAATAAATAAAGGCCTAATTTCATAATTTGCTAATTGAGCTTTTAATTATTTATTGCAGGCTTATTGCACAAACTGTCCTGTAGAAAGCCTTGTACAGGCAGCAGCTGAAATACTATTTTACTTCTGATTTTCTGTGAGACCATTCATTCTGCCAGCATCCATAAGAGTCTTCAAAAAATTATTGTTAGTTACGTTTATTCTTTATGAACAACACTGGGTAGTATCTGACGACTCATTACTGAGAATAATACAAATCCTCATGGAATTTTCTCCTTTTAAACCTGCTAAGATCTAAGCAGAATTTGTTTACAATGAATGGCATTTTTGCCTCTATTAAACCGGTAGACCTCCATAGATTTGATGAAAGAGCTGCAACAGTGTAACAGCTGGAGGACTGGTAGGTTGTTTCTCTGTTTAACAAACATTTCCCTAGACTTTTTAGAAATTATTTGCATTTTCCTAATTTGCTCTGCTTTTATGTAGAAGAACTCTGCAAAAGAGCCTGTCCGAGTTCCTGCATCTGCAACTGCAAGGCAAAACACTCACGTTGCCCAGTACAAAAATACTTATTCACATGTTAAATTGCACAACACACATTCTCATCTGCAGCTGTGAGAAATGCTCTGCGCAAAGCATTAGAAACATGTTTTCTGGAGACTGTTTCCTTCTTTAGAAAAAAAATTGTAGTGTTACTGTTCCTTGTATCCTTCATAACACTAGTGAGGAATGCACATACGAAAAGAGATTTAAAAAGTTTTAATGGGCAAAATTCTTACATTATTATTTACACAAACTCCTTTTCACAGCACTGTTTGGCATTCAGATATCTAAAGTTATGGATCTAAATACTGTTTATACCTCAATATGAAAACACATCAATGACACCTGTGTTCTGAAAAATGTTCTAGTTATTAAACTCTTCCGCAGAATGTATAGAGAAATAATATACATGGGTTGCTCTGAAAGTACGGGTGCCTGCTTATTTCTGTGGAAACTGCAACAGATACAGTGAGCATAATAACACTATTTTTGATAAACTAACTTCTCGGATAGAAAACAGAATTTTTCAGCATACTCACGACCATTAGCTGTGCATTTTCACCCGTAAGGGACAAAAGCCTGCATGCAGTGCTTGTAAATATCTACACCAGCAGAGATGGCCTGCTGTTGCTGTCGCTGTGCTCACATCAGCTGTTTGGTCTCCATCAGCATTCAGCAAGTGCTGATGAATATCAGTGGGTGTCATTTTTTCTCGCGTGGAGGAATTCAGTGACACACCTTTGCTTCATACGTATTTCCACGTCAGATGTCATTATGTGAGCCTGCCCCTCCACTGCCATCTGTCTCAGAACAGCCATGTGTAGCAGAATGTTGGTGGGGAGGTTCATTCTCTACTGCCATACCACCAACATTTGCCCCTGACATCATAGGCCAAGATAATAAAATAAGAAGCATTTCCTGCAGAAACATTTCCCTGCACCTGAAGTCTCTCTGTTTGGTACTGACTGAGAATTGCATGTTCGTTTTGGTACTGCATCTTTTCATCTCAAAACCCAACAGCTCTGTCAGTGCTTCACTCCATTGCACTTCTTTAAGCTGTTGCCAGTCGTCTTCAATGTATTTTCTATTTTTTTTAAAAAAACATTCTATTCTGATTTCCCAGTTTTGGGGCAGTGAAGGTAGAGGGTTGACAGTCTTTGTCTGAATGTGCATCTGTCTCCTGGGAGCAGTCTAAGGGTATGTCTATTGAGCGATACACCAAGCTGTGTTGCATCCTTCCACAGTGAACAGACATGTTAGCTGGGCACATTCAGCTTGATATTTAGCAGCCTTGAACTTGACTGTGTTGGTAGTTGAAAGGGGAGTCATCATTTAAATGTCAGCTATATAAAAAGAGAAAAAAATAATAACACCTGAGATGCTTCATTACCCAATTAAATGCCAAACTGCAGAAGAATTGCATTTGAATTTCAGTTAGGTACATCCAAATATTTGCCTCATCAGGTAACTTCAGCAAAACAGTTGACATATATCCCTCCAAATCAAAATCTGATTTATTATCTGTAAGCACAGAAGACTAGTAATATGCTTTAAGCAACAAGATGTCTGTGATCCACGATTGGTGAAGTGGTCCCAAGCTGAGAAACACTACTTTGGGTTGCTCTAACTTATTTTCATTGTGAACTGCAATACGCTGCGATTATCCATGATGTGTTTGAGGAGAGCAACAGCCCTTGAGCCAACTGGCCTGCATCCACGCTAGCTGGGGAGAGTGGCTATATTTTGTGATTCTTGGTTAGATGTCCTGTGGATCCCAGCCTCTGCAGCACCTTCTGGCTGTTTGATACCGTGTTTTTTCTGGATGGAGAACTTCACTACATTGTGAAGTTCTGATTACAGATATGCTAAAATGCCGCCACGTTAGCCACCTTCTGCTCATTTCCATTGTTCAGATACAAGATTTCAAAGACTTTATGAGTCAGAAAATAAAACAGTAAAATGTTCTTGGAATTATTGCTTTCTGCCTCCTGTGCTTAAAATACAGGGCCAAATTTAGCTTTTAAAAATCAACTGGGCTTAGTATTGTTCATATTGCTCCCACTGCCATGCATTTGGGTTCCAAAAGTTGCTTTTCAAATTAGGAGTATTGTTCTTAATTCTATTCTGCTTAATGTTTTGTTTTGCATGGTTTCAGTTTATCTGTCACCTTGGCCATACTCCCAGGATCTGTCCCAAGTTTTCTTTCACCGGCTATAAGCCTGAAGTTATCTTTTCAAATAGAAGAAATCATTTTTCATTTTGCATTTACCCAAATGCCAGAAACATATTTTTCATGAACTCTTTTCAACATTTTCATTAGTTTTGCTCACTGATATAACAGTACATCTGAGAGACAGAATTAAGAGATCTCAGAAGTGGGTCTTATATGTAAGCACGCCTTTTATTCAGCAGACTGACAACTTTCAACTAGCTGAAGGTAACAGCAGCATTGTATACAGATGCTTAATGCAACAGTATTTGTTTCATGTCTTCAAAATACAGAAGTACCAAGTATACCTAGAGAACAAGCTATAGTCTCAAGTTGCCAGGTTATAGGTTAGATATAGGTTAGATATAGTGTACAAAAATAACTCCTCAGTGAATTTATGAGATTCAACAGTAAGCTGATCTGATTTCCTTGTGGTTGCTTTCCACATCTCACGAAAAGCCAGAATCTCCAGGAGCTGGATTAGAAGCTAGAGCAGTGAAGGTTGAGGGGAAACAACATTACTATGATAAGGGGCAACATTTAAAAATATCACTGTTGAGTTTTGTCCTAAGTGGGCAGCTTGCTAATTGCTGGTATCACCACAGGGGGAAATAGATTTTAATTCATTGGTGTTGCTGTAATTCAAGACAGTATGGCAAGGAAAGATAATATCTCACCAGAGGCGCTATTATTACACCCAGATTTCGATTTTGATTTTCTGACTCATAAATTCTTTAACATTTGTATTACACCCAGAATAGGTAAATGCTGATTCTTAGGGGAAAAACAACAACAACAAAAAACAAAACACAAAGCAGCCACTTGGTGTGAAAATTAAGTCCTACACCAAAGAAGCAGCTCTGTACAACTGAGGAAACAACTGCAGTCCCCAAACAATGCAGAAACATCAATTTTTATTTTCATCCATTCCTCATGAATTTCAGGAGTGAGCTGGAGACTTGCAAACCAGAAGGTTTTTTATGCATTTTATGTCCGTCAGGCCCCAACTTTATTATGTTTCAAATGAGACAGAGCTGTAATTGTGGCACTGTCATATCAGAAATTCCTTCTTGGTCGCCCGTGAGCACAGGCGTACAATCTATGTATTCCAGATTGCACTCTGCTCGTATTTCAAGTAAATAATTGCTTCCTCTTCTGCACTCTGATTCTCTGACATCCGCTGAGACTCAACCCTTTCTTGCAATTCTTCATTTCCCTCCCTAAGTGACATTCAAATATACAGCATGCATATATGTGGAAGTCGTTGTCAAAATGCTATATTCACCAAGGGAAAACGTCCACCATAAAATTGCTCTGTGGGTTACTTCATTTGCAATATTTCTCCTGGAAACATAGTGCCCCAGGATAGTGAGGCAGCAGGAAGTAATGAAATGTATTTTTCATACCCATACTCTCACTTTTCATTTCGACGTATCAAGCAGGTCTTTAAACTGCTAGTCTAAACTATTATGTCTTATTTTAGAAAGCCTTTATAATAATTGTGAATAATTAGAACCCAAAGTGCTAGCTACTTGTAAATGAAAATAAATGCTTAGCCCTCCTTGCAGAAGCCATTTGAAATGTTCTTTTTAAAAACCCATCGATTTTATTTCACGCTACTGGTTCATTTTATTTTACTTGAAATAAAGATATTCCCATAATTTCGAATGGTTAAAAGCTTCAAACCACAACTGCAGTAGAGGTGCTGTTACTCAGAAAAATTACACGTCTGAAAGAATGGGGGTATAATTTTTCAACTTCAATTTTTTTCTCAAGTTTAATTCTTTTTCTTTATAAGGTTAAGGAGAGAAATGAAGGCCTCGGTATGATAATTCTATTTGACTTTTAGCCCCTGCTATCTACATGCTTCTGGTCATTTGTAATGTCTTGGGATGTGAGCCGTGCCAAAGATCATAGCAAAAAGAAAGCATGAGAATTACAAAAGCTGCTGAATTGAAAACTGTCTTTAGCAGGAAGGTCATCAGGAGACAAATTATCCAATTGAATTGAATGTATATGGCAATGTTAAAGAATAGGTTTAAATGTGCTTTAGGCATTAAATAAACGCACATCTGCTGAAAATAGGCACAATTCTTGTCTCCTATGCTCAGGAATACCCAGGAATTCCCAGCAAGTGTTCAAGGTCAGGTTGGATGGGGCTCTGGGGAACTTGGTCTTGTGTCTGATCTAGCGGTTGGAAACCCAGCCACTGAAAGGGGTTGGAACTAAAGGAACTAAAGGACCCATCCAATCCAAC